TATACTATATGATCTTCTTTCTTGATTACGTATTTAGACTTTTAAATCAAACATTTCTTGAATTTCTCAATATTTAATGTTGGATTCGTTAATTGGTTTGGTGTTACAACATAATGTTTAAACTCAATTTTATATAATTTCAAAAAAAAATTAAAACCAGAACAAGTTAAAGTTTGGGGAGTAGGTCAAACAGAGCTTAGGATCGATTTTTTGAAAACGTAAATACTTCAGAAAACTCAAAATTTAGTTTATGTTAGGGTTTGGGTTTGTACTGTATAACAAATACTGAAATACGTAAAAATTTGAGATATTCCCATTTTGAATTTTTTTTACGTTACACCTGATTCTGAATCACGTTATGGAGTTTTGCAAAAAGTGTGACGCTAATTTTTGTGATGATGGTAACCCCGGAAGCACTCATAATCTGAGGTTACACTGACCGGAATTCTTGAAGATCTTGGGGCTTCGCAAACGCGAAAATAAAATCTGTGCTCGGTTTATAGTCATGTGATGTAAATCATGTGAAGTTCATTGAACTAGTGCATATTTATGCATGTATATGCAATCAATCATAATCCGTGTAAGTAATACAAGAGATTTAAACATTCTTTCATTTATTTACAACTTAAAATAATTTAATAATAATATGCGTTAATTATTCTTAAATATAGTAAATATAATTATATACGCTTATAATCATTGAGAATATTTGAAATATTTATAATTATTCCAACGGATTCAAAATTAAAATTATTTTAGCTATTTTTTCGTTAACTATACAATTTACAATTAAATTTATATTTATTTTTTGTTTTATAAGACATATCAGATATAGAATTAGAGATAGAAAATTTTAAATATATACATACATACATATGTATGTATGTATAGTATGTACAGATTATTGCTCATTACTTCCAATTATTTCTTCTAATTTTTTTTTGTATAATAAATAATAATTTACTTTTCAAGTTACATTCATAAAATGCAATAAGTAAAGTATAAGTAATAATTAGCAATAATACGTGTAAACGCTATTATAAAAATATATAATTATTTCTATAGCTCGTAATGAAATCAAATTTAAATAAAATTTTGCATTTCTACTTCTAAACTTATATAAAAAATATGATTAAAATTTGTATTTTTTTATGGTTTGTTTGTTTTATACAATAAAATTTCATTTTAATTTGTTTCATTTTAATTTATTACAATTATTATTTACATAATTGCCTTGTCTATCTCTACACAGAATTATAAAATTTCTAGACTGATTACTTGAATTTTACAATTAAACTATATGTAATACAATATATAGTAGAATCTGAGTATTTTATTACTTAATGATCACCAAAAAAAGAAATCAAAAAATTCAGATTTACACAATTAAATCATAATTATTTCATTTTTTTTTTGAAACAGCGATACAAATTATTATTACATCATATAATGTTTACTATGCATTTCAGTATAGTATTTAAAAGAATTACGATTTGTTAATAATACTCTTCTTACAACAGATATTAAAAATTGATACTTGGTTTGAGAGACCTTCTCTTTATAAATTTTCTTATAACAATGAATTTAGACTTGATACTAAATATGAATAAAATATATATACCCAATATCAAAATATCACTTAATCTTAATATTACACAAACACATCTTTCTATTTTGTAGAAAGCTTTATCTCAAAACTATAATTACATTATTGATTCATTTGAAACAGTTCAATCTTATCATTTTTTGCATACGTACACAGAACTATTTACAGCAAACTTTCATATAAATGTATGTACAGTACAATTAATAATGCCAAAATGTAGCTTGATAAATTTATGAATTTGCACAAAGTGACTATATGAAAAACTCAGAAGCAGATTGTTAAGGGTATACATTTTCTTCTTTCTAAATGCCTTCATTGTATACATAGTTACATAGTAAAGCTAAAACAAAGAATAAAAATTAATAATTCAAGTACTAAAACTGCAGAAAAAAAATAATTAGCATATATATTTGAGATACAAATTGTCTAACAATGCTTAATATACAATTAAAAAACAAATTAGAAACTTATCCATGTATAGTATTATTGTCATTTCATTATAACCATTCTCTTGTATCAAGTAATATCACTAGCTTTCACCCTATATCTAATAAAACAAAAGAAGTATTCTTTGAGCTTTTTTGTATTGGAAATGGTACTGCAAGTGCGTATAATATATATATAGAAGAAATTCAGCTAAAGTATAAAAATAATGAAGAAATTTTAGCAAATAATGCTATTTGTCCAAACAAACAAATATTTATTACCTTCATCAGTAATTTCTTGACAAGTCTATTAGTGCAAAGAATAGAAAAGAAATGTTTAATTATTTAGCTGAAGAAGTTGCAAAGTTTAATAATAGCAAAAAAGAAAATATCTGAATACAACCTTACATAGCTCCAACTATATCTGATCCAGAGCAATTATTTATTCTTATTATTTTAACTAACTTGATAAAATGCTACAATATCTTACAATAAACTAGTGAGTTAGTATATATAGATACAACAGCTAGTCTCAACACTCTTAATACACTATTAACTATAATTTTAACAAGTATACTAATTAGTAGCTTATTTCTTGCTATAATACTCATATCAGATAAGACAGCACAAACTTTCACAAAAGCTTTGAATGTAATTAAAAATATTCTGCTATCAGAAGCATTTAGAGAATGTAAGCCTACAATTGGGCTACAAGTCATTATAACTGATGATTATGCTGAAAGCATTAAGCTGTACCTAGAAAATATAAAATTGTTGTTATATGTTTTTTATTTTTTGCAGACAGCATAGAGATAGTTATGGAATAGAAAATATAGTATCTATATAGCTAATTGTATTATTCTCATTAAATATTTAAAAAGAATTATTTTTGCAAAAACTGAAGTAATATTGAAAAAAGAATATATAGTACTTGTAACTAATAAAACATACTTTAAATATTCACAATTTTAAAAGTATTTTGAAATCATATAGAGCTGATATGAAAAATAGGCTATTATATTTCATCAAAGCTTGCAAATTCGAAATAACAATACAAATAATTTTATAAAAGCAGAAATTCGAATCATTAAGGATATTGTTTTTAGATAAATACAAGCATTTAATATAGTACAAATATTTTATTTTATTATTAGTATAATGGATCTTTACTATACTCGTAAATTACTTGCAGTAACTTACAATAAACTAAATGAATATCTTTTACTTTGTTTTTAGCTTTCAGAATAGAAAATTGGATTGAAGGAGGATATTGAAGTAGTAAACTCTGATTTAATGATTTTTAAACATAGAAGCAGTAAAAATAAAGACCTATGTTACTTTGTCAATATACAACTTAGAATTTGTGAATGTAGTCTAACAGAGGCTCTATGCAAGCACCAATCTTCAATAACAATATACTATAGTATATGTAGTCTAAACTAGATACCTACAATATTAGTAAATAATTAGCATTATTTTGCTTATCTGGTATTGAGTAAAAAATATAAGGAGCTTACTTTCTACACAGACTTTTATCAAGTATAACATGATTAAAATTTCATATATACAATAGTAGAACTCATAACAAATATTAATAATAATTATTTTGTTAATAATGTTGATGACAAAAATAGATATGGTTATATGAATAATAAAAATATACCTCTCAAATTCTTATCTGTGCCCTTAAGTGATTATAAAAATGATATTAATAATAATAATATAAGTGAAAAAAATAGCAATATTGATCAGCAACAGTTAGCTATAAATGAATTAGATTGGTTTAGTAATGATTTGAAAAATCTTCTCAAAGAAGATAATCCTGCACTAGAAAAAAGCATATATAAATTTGTTAATATTTACAAGAAATATCATTCTATACAAGACACCCAGGTTCACCCAGCAATAACATCCTTTTTTGAAATATATGACTATAATGTGAGTCATGTTAATAGCAATAGTTATCAATGTAGAGAGAAAAGAATTAAAGTACAAGTAGCTGCAACCTCAAGACAGAAGAAGAGATCAACTCATGAGCTTAAGAAAATGCAATAGAGAAGGCCAAAAAAGAATAAAAAAAATAATATATATGAAACTGAACAACAAGAAAAACTAAGCTGTTTTATTATACCTACATGATCGAAAAGACTGAATAAAAAATATTTACATGATTTGTATCAGGCTTTGAAAGAAATTAAACTAAATAGATATTAAGTAATTGCTGGTTAAAAAACAAAAGCAAAAAAACTAAAATATTTTTTAATCTATTTGTAACAAATTAACTAATTGCTTCTCATTTAATGAATTTTAAAGTAACCTGATCTTAAATAAATAAAAATTTGGTTTTTTTACTTAGCTATTAGGTAAAAAACATATAACAAAAGTTTGTTACAAAAAATTATAATGCTTAAGATTCTATAGCACCTTTTATACTGAATTATCATAAAATTTCTAGATCATTGTATTCAGAGTCAACTGCATTATAAATTTATAAATTTGTTGAGAAGCAAAAGTTACTTTAAATTTACAAATTTAATCTGCTAAAATAATAAAACTGATTCAGCAAAATATGAGAAACAATTAATTAATTATATTAACTTGAGTAAGATATTTGCGTGATATTTCAATTAAATTATAAGTTTAAAATAAGAGTATAGTTATAGCGATAAAATCCAAGATCAGATGAAACAAAAAATCAAAACTTCGCATTAATATACATTTTAATCCTAATACAGAAAAAATTTTTGATAGTTAAATTTAACTGTACATATATATTGAATTTCGGAATAATAGTAACTCACATATATTTAATAGATCGAGTACTAATATTTCTTATAGTATATAGTCGTTAGATTAGATTTAAATATTGAGAAATTCAAGAAATGTTTGATTTAAAAGTCTAAATACGTAATCAAGAAAGAAGATCATATAGTATATTATACAGATTATTATTGATTGCATATATATACATAAATATGCACTAGTTTAATGAACTTCACATGATTTATATCACATGACTATAAACTGAGCACAGATTTTATTTTCAGTTACAATTTGGGTCACAGGATATGAATTTATTAATAAGTCAATTTAACAATTACGAAATTGATCAATTAATTAATCAATTTAAAAACACTATATAAAACAATGCAATATGACAATTTGGGTCTTTTTACTTTACTAACAAACTGATATGAGTTAAGAAAGATATCACAGGAACAAGAATTTAATGATAATGATTCAAAAGATTTATGATAACAATTTATAACAATTTAAAAAAGTAATTTAGTTAAAGACAAATACTTTTATACGAGACTTTTCAAGACTTAGAAGGTTTTACCTTTTCAAACTCTGTGAGTTGTTTTTTATTGAGGAAAATATTTGTTCTATATATATAATTTTCACTACTACATAATTTAATAATATACATAATAATAATCTTTACAAATATTACTATTGGTCCTATTTACTTACTATATCCTATTATTATTATTTTTTGAGTAATAGTCATTCTATGAATTTTTGTTATTATGTATTTTAAATTTATTCTACCAATTCATCAAATTTCAAGAATTCTATGAATTTCAAGAATTTCATAAATTGGTGTAATGTCAAATCTGGTCAGCTAAGCTACTCAGTTTGGCTAATATCAGCTATAGCTATAGTCAGCTGTAGCTGGCTATAGCCATAGTTAATGTAAAAGTCTAATTTGACTCTTTGGAAATACTATACTTCAATATGGTACTATATCCTATTTTTAGTTTTAGAATCTTGTTTAGTCTTTTTAAATGTAGTATATCTTAGACATATATAATAGTCTTATCTCAAAACCTGTAAAAGATTATTATTACTATAAATAGATCAAATTAATATTCAAGATGTGATATATGTAGCATTTATAGTATAGGGTATTTGGTGAAAATAAAATCTGTGCTTGGTTTATAGTCATGTGATGTAAATCATATGAAGTAAGCTCCTTATATTTTTTACTCAATACCAGATAAGCAAAATAATGCTAATTATTTACTAATATTGTAGGTATC